TTCTTTGACATTAACATTTTTCTTAAAAATAAACAAGGAAACTGAACATAAGATTTTGTGAACCAAAGTGTTTATAAAGTCAGATAAATCAAGGTATTCATTAACAGTTGTGTAAATTTTACATGTTGGTAGGACTTAAGTTTTCTTGATCTGTCTATACTGGAGTTTATAGACTGTACCACTGGAGGACTCTTCTTTAAAATTACTAAATGGAGAAAGGAAATATTATTTGTGACACTGTAATCAAGCATTCCTCATGCTGGCTCAATTTAGGCAAGTTGTTTAAATGTATTTGGATAGTAAGTATATTTTGAATGAAGATAAAATGATTTAATTAGGAGATTTTTTTTACTTGGAATGAAAACAACCACAGGAAAAAAACAGGCTCCTTCCTCAACACCGGAAGATCAATAATAGACCCTTGAGTGATCACATAAATGTTTGGCTTGGTCCAAGTATAATGAATTAAGTGAATGTATTAAAAAGTGTGAAGTGAAATATAAAATAAAGTACTTATAAGAAAAAGCCAGGCTCTGTTTTGCTATACTGAAGATATTCTTTCATGAAAAATGTGGGTACATAGTAAAAAGATGCATGCTTATTAAATATTCTTTAGTACGTTGAATTGTGAAATTTTTCCTCCATCAGTTCAGACTACAGAAGACAGTTTAATTATTAAGAATAAGGTTTCATGGGGAGTTCCCTGGTGGTCCAGTGGTTAGGACTCTGTGCTTCCACTGCCGGGGGCACAGGTTCGATCCCTGATCGGGGAACTGAAATCCCGCATGCTGTGCAGCGCGGCTAAAAAAAAAAAAAAAAGAAGGTTTCAGTAACTTCATAATCAAGCTGTTTAATTTTATCATTTTTATAAATTTGGGCTTATCATATGATTTAACCACTATAAAAATTCAAGCAATTTCTCCCACATAATTTTAAAGTTCCTTCTTAAGTTATTAGTTGTCTCAAAGACCCTAAATATCGAAGTTTTGAGGCCTCTGAGGTTCTTGGCAGTATTGATCCTTTAAGGCAGGGGTTGACCAGTTTCTTTAAAGGGCAAGATAGTGAATATTTTAAGCTTTGCAGATCATATAATTTCTGCTGCAGGTCCTCAACTCTGCTGTTACAGTGCAAAGATGGCCAAACGAATGTGACTGTGTTCCAGTAAAACTTTGTTTATTAAAATCAGGGTATGCCTTGATTTGGCCTGTGGGCTTAGTTTTCCTACTTTGGTTTTGGGCAAAAAGTTAGCAGGAGAAATGAAAATAATTATAGTAATGTAGCAGAAAGACCCTTAGGGTCAGCTGAGTTGGGAGGTTATTCCATGCTCTAATTCCCAGCCCAGCCCTCACTTTCCTTATCTTTAACATGTGGCCACCTCGGAAGATGATTTAAAAGGTTAAAAATAGGGTATGGAAGGCACTGAGCAAAATATTCTGACACATAGTAGATACTCAATAAATATTTGCTCCCACCACCCCACCATTTTATATTATTTTACAGTGTGTAGTATATCTAATTAGTTATTCCAAATATTAGAAATTATAGTTGTGTTTATAGCTAAATTATCTTTTGAATTATGCTTTTTGGCCATATAAGTTATAACTGTTTGGTTTCACAATAGTATCAGAAACTTCACATGAAAAAAATTGAGAATTTGTGTTGAAATATAATTTCATGTTTTGAAGATTTTACATTGTCACAAAAAATGTTTGATAATGTCACTTAAAATGCATTACTTTAATTTGACCTAAAAAGTAGGTTTTCTGTATTTTGTGTGCTTCAGAAGTGCCTTTAAGACTGCATTCATTTAAGTTAATTGACTGCCTCCTGTGAGTGAACTGAACTAGGTGCTCTGCTAGGATTTGGTTGTACTTAAAAAGTACCCATATTTAGGTACTCATTTTTGTGTAATGTTTGGGACATAAGGGAAGCGTCAGAAAGTTGTTTTTCTTTCTTTCTGAGTTACTGTCAAGATAAAGCTGGATTCGAGATTTTTAACTCCCCTCCAAAAAAAAATTTTGTGCTCCTTCACAGATCAGAGGCAGAGATGCCACATAGGTGGATGTTGAAATAATTTTGTGCCAGTAGTTGGTGGCAGGACTAGGGTTGGATCTCACATACCAGATGCATAATCTTTCTAGTACTCTTTTCATTGCACCATTGCTTGGTTTGTTAGCTCTGTTATCACCTGCATCTGGACTCCCAGAAATCTAGTTTTCTTGTCCCACATTCTCCATTTTCCCCCTAAAGCTTAAACAGAAGCTGTTGCAAAGTCTTATCAAATTTTACTAAGAAAACTTTGTATTATTATTTAAATACAGTTACAGCTTAGAATATAATTGTATTATACTTAATATGAAAGAAAAGTTGGCTGTTTTTAAGCAGATTTTTAAAATTCTGCTTTACATTGGTTATATTATCTGTATGATATTTATGTATAAGGAGTTGGTTTTCCTTTGTTCTACAAGTAATCATCGTTCACTTTTGCACACTTTTGTCTGCCTCAGATTTCCTAACTAGTTTATTCAGAAAATTATAGGTAAATACTGAATACTTACAATGTGAAGACTTTGGGCAGGATATAGAGAAGTATTAGATAAAGTCACTGCCCTCAAAGGTCTGGCTTTGAAATAAGTATGGACAGTCCCTTAGAGATTAGGTTGGATTAAGAGAATTTAGTAGTTGTTTGAAACGGGCAGAGTCAGAGAATTGCTCAAATAATATGCAAATAAATTGTGGGATTGTACTTATAATGTTACAGAATTATAAGTTTATTTAAAAAAATAATATATCACAGTTTATTTAACTGTATTACTGTTGGTGAGTTGTTTCTAGCTTTTGGTTATTATGAGTAATGTTACCATGAATGTCCTTGCACGTTTAGTCTATCAAGGTTAATATGTACATGTGTTTCTCTAGGGCTGTGCTCTCTAGTATGGTAGCCATTAGCCACATGACTATTTATTTATTTATCTTTGAATTTCATTTATTTTTTTATACAGCAGGTTCTTATTAGTTATCTATTTTCTACATATTAGTGTATATATGTCAATCCCAATCATGACTATTTAAATTTAAATTAACTAAAATTAAAAATTCAGCTCTTCAGTTACACTAGCCACATTTCAAGTGCTTCATAACCATATATGGCCAGTGGCTATGTTATTATTGCACAATGCAGATATAGAATATTTCCATTATTGCAGAAAGTTCTATTGACATCACTGTTCAAAGTATATAATTAGGAGTGAAATTGCTGGATGATAGCATAGGGGAATGGTCAACTTACTAGATAATGCCATACTCTTTTAGCATAAACTATTGAGTTTCTTCAAATTGCCTCACATTGAAAACTGTAAATTCTACTTTATAAATACTGGACATGTAAACTTAACTGTCTGTTAATCTTTTGTGAGTCTTATGGTCGTTTGGCCCTGTCCCCCAAAACACACACACTGTTGTGCATATCAGGGAATTCATGGAAATTAGATCATGAACCCCAGAGTTAAACCTCTGATCCAAGTGATTTGTCTGAGAACTATACAAATAAGCTGCAGGTGTTTTTCAAAATAATGATTCACTTAAGAGTAATCAGTAGATACCTAAGAGTTTATGAAAGGAAATTTGATGGTTCTTTGTAGGCATCTAAAGGGATAGTGTTCCTTTTATGTCTTATCCTTTTATACTTTACACCTTACCCTTTTATACTTAAATTTTATAGTGAGAGTAGTAGTGCATTTGGCTAAATTACAGTACTTTTTGCTTTCTCCTAACTCCTACCCAGAGCTGTATCCCTCGCCCCATCTCTTAATGTGTCATGCAGTATGCGATATCCTTTGTATATAGTTGTTTTTTAAAGAAATTTATTTTATTTATTTATTTTTGGCTGCGTTGGGTCTTCATTGCTGCACGCGGGCTTTCTCTAGTTGCGGTGAGCAGGGGCTACTCTTCGTTGAGGTGTGTGGGCTTCTTATGGCAGTGGCTTCTCTTGTTGTGGAGCAAGGGCTCTAGGCACGCGGGCTTCAGTAGTTGTGGTGCATGGGCTTAGTTGCTCTGCGGCACGTGGGATCTTCCTGGACCAGGGCTCGAATCCGTGTCCCCTACATTGGCAGGTGGATTCTTAACCACTGTACCACCCGGGAAGCCCTGTATATAGTTTTAAACATTAACAACTTTGTGACTGAACAGAGGCTCAGAGAGATTATTTTATCCAGAGTCCTATTGTAACTGATAGCAGGTATTTGAACTCAGTTTGACTCCAAAGCCCTTGGATTTTTCTACTTTGTATTTTAGCCTGCCTTAAGACTTACCTTGTTTAACACTGTTTTTTTGGTAAGATTAAGATCTTTTTTTGGGAAAACCATCCTTAATTTAGTGTTTAAATCGTACTTGAATTAAAGTGAAGAACTTTGAACCTGTAAATTGTAAGCTCCTTGAGGGTAGGGGCTATGTCTTTTTATTTTAGTATCTCACTGCTTAATATGGCACAAGGTAGGTGCATGTTATCCGTTTGCACTTTTTAATCATTTACTTGTTAAACCTTAGCCTTACTTGTGAGTTTCATCCCAGAGACTGTTCTAATCTAGTTACCTCCTGTAATCTGAGAGAATTTGAGATTCAGAACAATTCCATTTATCCTCTTTTGGCTGTAAGTGTGTTTAATTATGGGTGGAGGGTTCTTGATTCACTTCATTTACAGAGATATAAACATGAACAGATGAATTTGCTCATGGCTTTGTCTTGCTTTTTTGTGGGCTCTTACTGATAGACATTATAGTTACAAACCTTGCGCCGATTAAGTACTCAAGACTACGGAGTCAGACTTGTGCTGAAATGCCTTCTTGACCCTTCTTGACTTGTGTGTGACTCTGGGCAAGTTTACCTGTGAAAATCTGATTAGTTATCTGCAGAATAAGGAATGTTGTACTTGTGGGGGGTTGTACTTGTGCCTGATTCAGAAGGCTTTAGGGGAGGAAAAACCTTTTTCTCTTTCCTCCTAGGTTCATTGTCCGGGGCCCTGTAAATTAAACTGACAAAAGACAGATTAACAGGAGAAATGGTTTATTACTTATGCATATGGAGACCTTCAAAGAAAAGAGTTGAAGACCAAAGAAGCAGAGAGACTGAATGATAAATTGTGGAATCCAGACAAGACAAAGGAAAAGAGGCTTTTAGAGGCTGTAAATTGTGGGAAGGTAATTATGTGGGGGGAACTAAACTGAATATAAAGGTTATTTTAGTAAGGTTTGTTATGCAGATTTAAGTTGGTGTCATCTGATTTGATAAGAGTCAACTCCCAGGGTTGAGGTCCTCTTTATGGTACCTTTTTACAAATGGAAATTCATGCTAGCTTTAAAAAGGGAAATTTATGCTGTCCTTTTTAAGCGTGATAGGGGAGGACAGTTTTTTTTCCTGTGTCTGTTTCTTAATTGCCTTTAGCTCACAATAATCCTTATGCCAGTGTCACATTTTGGGGTGGAATATTCTGATCCCCTTCAGAGTCTTTATTTTGAGGATTAATTGAGATGATGTATCAAGAATGATTAGCGAGAGGGCAGACAGCAGAAGCAAGAAGAGCTACAGTCCTGCAGCCTGTGGAACAAAAAACACGTTCACAGAAAGATAGATAAGATGAAAAGCAGAGGGCTATATACCAGATGAAGGAACAAGATAAAACCCCAGAAAACTAAATGAAGTGGAGATAGGCAACCTTCCAGAAAAAGAATTCAGAATAATGATAGTGAAGATGATCCAGGACCTCGGAAAAAGAATGGAGGCAAAGATCAAGAAGATGCAAGAAATGTTTAGCAAAGACCTAGAATAATTAAAGAACAAACACCTAGAATAATTAAAGAACAGACAAACAGAGATGAACAATACAATAACTGAAGAGAAAGATACACTAGAAGGAATCAATAGCAGAATAAATGAGGCAGAAGAACGGATAAGTGATCTGGAAGACAGAATGGTGGAATTCACTGCCGCAGAACAGAATAAAGAAAAACGAATGAAAAGAAATGAAGACAGCCTAAGAGACCTCTGGGGCAACATTAAACGTAACAACATTCATATTATAGAGGTCCCAGAAGGAGAAGAGAGAGAGAAAGGACCCAAGAAAATATGTGAAGAGATTATAGTCAAAAACTTCCCTAACATGGGAAAGGAAATAGCCACCCAAGTCCAGGAAGCACAGAGAGTCCAGGGAGGATAAACCCAAGGAGAAACATGCCGAGACACATAGTAATCAAATTGACAAAAATTAAAGACAAAGAAAAATTATTGACATCAACAAGGGCAAAATGAAAAATAACATACAAGGCAACTCCCATAAGGTTAACAGCTGATTTCTAACCAGAAACTACAAGCAAGAGGGAGTGGCATGATGTATTTAAAGTGATGAAAGGGAAGAACCTACAACCAAAATTACTCTACCCGGCGAGGATCTCATTCAGATTTGACGGAGAAATCAAAAGTTTTACAGACAAGCAAAAGCTAAGAGAATTCAGCACCACCATACCAGCTCTACAACAAATGCTAAAGGAATTTCTCTAAGCAGGAAACACAAGAGAAGAAAAAGACCCACAAAAACAGACCCATAACAATTAAGAAAATGGTAATAGAAACATACATATTGATAATTACTTTAAACATGAATGGATTAAATGCTCCAACCAAAAGACAGGTTCGTTGAATGGATACAAAAATAAGACCCATCTATATGCTGTCTACAAGAGACCCACTTCAGACCTACAGACACATACAGACTGAAAGTGAGAGGATGGAAAATGATATTCCATGCAAATGGAAATCAAAAGAAAGCTGGAGTAGCAATACTCATATCAGTTAAAACGGACTTTAAAATAAAGAATGTTACAGGAGACAAGGAAGGACACTACATAATGATCAAGGGATCAATCCAAGAAGAAGATATAACAATTATATGTGCACCCAACATAGGAGCACCTCAATACATAAGGCAACTGCTAACAGCTATAAAAGAGGAAATCGACAGTAACACAGTAATAGTGGGGTAGTTTAACACCTCACTTACACCAATGGACAGATCATTGAAACAGAAAATTAATAAGGAAACACAAGCTTTAAATGACACAATAGACCAGATAGATTTCATTGATATTTATAGGACATTCCATCCCAAAACAGCAGATTACACTTTCTTCTCAAGTGCTTATGGAACATTTTCCAGGGTAGGTCATATCTTGGGTCACAAATCAAGCCTTGGTAAATTTAAGAAAATTGAAATTGTATCAAGTATCTTTTCCGACCACAACATTATGAGGCTAGATATCAATTACAGGAAAAAATCTGTAAAGAAAATACAAACACATGGAGGCTAAACAATACATTACTAAATAAGAGAACACTGAAGAAATCAAAGAGGAAATAAAAAAATACTTAGAGACAAATCACAACGAAAACACAACAATCCAAAACCTATGGGATGCAGCAAAAATAGTCCTAAGAGGGAAGTTTATAGCAATACAAGCCTACCTCAAGTTAACAAGAAAAATGTCAAATAAACAATCTAACCTTACACCTAAAGGAACTAGGAAAAGAAGAACAAACAAAACCCAAAGTTAGTAGAAGGAAATAAATCATAAAGATCAGAGCAGAAGTAAATGAAATAGAAACAAATAATAGCAAAGATCAGTAAAACTAAAAGCTGGTTCTTTGAGAAGATAAACAAAATTGATAAATATTTAGCCAGACTCATCAAGAAAAAGAGGGAGAGGACTTAAATCAATAAGATTAGAAATGAAAAAGGAGAAGTTACAGCACACACCACAGTAATACAAAGCATACTAAGAAACTACTACAAGCAACTCTATGCCAATAAAATGGACAATGTGGAAAAAATGGACAAATTCTTAGAAAGGTGTAAACTTCCAAGACTGAACCAGGAAGAAATAGAAAATATGAACAGACCAATCACAAGTAATGAAATTGAAACTGTGATTAAAAACCTTCCAACAAACAAAAATCCAGGACCAGATGGCTTCACAGGTGAATTCTATAAAATATTTAGAGAAGAGCTAACACCCATCCTTCTCAAACTGTTCCAAAAAAATTGCAGAGGAAGGAACACTCCCAAACTCATTCTATGAGGCCACCATCACCCTGATACCAAAACCAGACAAAGATACTACAAAAAAAAAAAAATTACAGACCAATATCACTGATGAATACAGATGCAAAAATCCTTAACAAAATACTAACAGACAGAATCCAACAACATATTAAAAGGATCATACACCACGATCAAGTGGGATTTATCCCAGGGACGCAAGGATTCTTCAGTATATGTAAATCAATCAATGATACACCATATTAACAAATTGAAGAAAAAAAACTATATGATCATCTCAATGGATGCAGAAAAAGCTTTTGACAAAATTCAACACCCATTTATGATACAAACTCTCCAAAAAGTTGGCATAGAGGGATCCTACCTCAACATAATAAAGGCCATATATGACAAACCCACAGCAAACATCTTTCTCAATGGTGAAAAACTGAAAGCATTTCCTCTAAGATCAGGAACAAGACAAGGATGTCTACTCTCGCCACTATTATTCAACACAGTTTTGGAAGTCCTAGCCACGGCAATCAGAAGAAAATGAAATAAAAGGAATACAAATTGGAAAAGAAGAAGTAAAACTGTCACTGTTTGCAGATGACATGATACA